CCCTCCCCTTTCCTGAGTGCTGTATGCCAGGTTCAGAATTGGCCAGGGTCTGTAGGGCATGTCCCCACCAGGTGTTTGCTTGCAGGTCACACGCGATGCAGATGGCCTGGGTGCTGGACCGGGGCTGACGGGGGCGTCTGGCATCAGGAGCTCACCCAGCTGCTCTCGCCTTCCCCGCCTGCCCTGGGCCCAGAGCCCATGCTGCTGGCACACTCCAGTCCTGCAGTATTATTAGTAACAGTGAAGTCCCCTGTGGAATCTCTACAGCATTTTGCATAAATGGGGCAAAATCCCAGTTTGAAGGAGCTGATTCTGACTTCTTCCATTTATTCCTCCATTCTTAACAGCTTCTGCCTTTCAGGAATGCAGAGAAGGGGTCAAGTGTACTTTCTGAGTTCTAATAAAAGCATAATTTTAAAAATCAAGAACACTAATTTTAAAAACAATCCTTTTTATTCTGGAAATGCTCAAATGTACAGACAAGTGGAGAGAAGACAGTGGCCCTCCTTGCCTCCCATGTTCCTTTGAAGTAGCATCTTCCAAGATATTTGTGTGAGGCTCTGGGCCGCTGCAGGGGGAGCCTCTGTTCTTTTTTGTTATATTGTAGAGAGTTTTAATTAATCCAATGTCTAAAAATCGGTAGATGCCTCATAAACATGCGGGTTCCAGGCTGGTAGCTCGGGTCCCTAATCCCTGAGAGCGGAGGGTGAGCAGTAGGCAGGCCCCCCCAGCCTCCTGGTCACCTGCCTGGCCCACTGGCATTTTCATCTGTGAGCCCTTCCCTAAACAGGATTCCCTGTGAGCCTGGCTTTTATGAGTGGTATGGGGTCTGGTTTTCTGCTTCTCTAGATTTTTAGAAATCATTCTGTATCCTAGGGTGAGTTTACATGACTTTCTAAGATTTCTGGTAGCTGTTAGGTTGATCAATATCACTTTGCTGCTTTTATAGGTAAAAAAAAAAAAAGGTTGAATCTTGGCAGTTTCATGTAGTTCAACTTAATGATATGCTTTAAGTTTTAAATATGAAATAAGTGTACTATTGTGTTGTACTGGAGGGGCAAAATTGGGGGTGGGCGGACTAGCAGGTGTGCAGGCGGGATTCCATCAAGTAAAGGGGGGCGCAAAAGCACACGTGTGGAGCCTGGGGTTTTAAAGACACATTGGCCTTCCATGAGCCTACTTTTTTTGGTTGTGTTTATTTCATAGAATAGCTTTATTGAGGTGTAATTCACATGCCTTAAAATTCACCTATTACAAGTCGTTGATTTTTAGTGTAATCAGAGTTACAATCAATTTTAGAACATTTTTGTAACCCCGAAGAGAAATTCTGTACCTGTGGGCAGTTACTCCCCACTTCCCCCTGATCCCCTAGCTCCTGACAACTACTAATCTACTTTCTGTCTCTGGGTTTTCCTGTTCTGGACATTCTACATAAATGAAATAATACAACATCTGGTCTTTGTTTCTGGCTTCTTTCACTCAGCATGTTTTCAAGGCTTTTTCACATTATAGCGTGTCAGTACTTTGTATCTTTTTATAGCCAAATGACATTCCACTGCATGGATGGGCCTCATTCCTTTGACCATGCATCAGTTGATGAACATTTAGGTTGTTTCCACTTTCTGGCTATTGTGAGAAATGCTGTCTTGAAATCTGCATACAGGTGTGTGCACATATTTTCAGTTCTCTTGGGTGTATACCTAGGTGTGGAATTACTGGGTCATATGGTAGCTCTGCGTTGAGCCTTTTGTGAAACTCCCACTTGCTTCCAAAGTGGCTGCAGCTGCACTATTTTCCATCCCCACCAGCAGTGTCCGAGGGCTCTGATTCCACCACATTCTCACCAACACTTGGATCAGACTTTGGAGCAGCCACCCAGTAAGGAAACTTTCCTGGCAGGATAAGATCTCTGTAGAGGTTAGGAAAAAGGATTGTCATTTTTTTAGTGGCGTAGAACATCAGCAGGGGTCATTTTCAAAAGCTCCTGAGGAAGCCAAGTTTACATGAGCTTCATTGGTCCCTGATCCTGTGTCCCTACCCTGCTCCCCACCCCCCCAGTGCTGGGTGGCCCCCACTGGTGGGTATTGGGAAGGTTTTGATTTTTATGCCTTGTTTCTATGACGGGGAGTAGTCTCCCCTTTCCCATGTCTGATTTGCCACACGCCTCTTTTCTGCACAGGTGTCACCATGAAGCTCATGGATGAGGTGGCTGGGATCGTGGCCGCACGTCACTGCAAGACCAACATAGTCACAGCTTCTGTGGACGCCATTAACTTTCACGACAAGATCAGAAAAGGTAACAGAACTCCGCCTACAAAAGAAGGGGGTGCCTGTGGCTGCTTGGGTCCCTTGCACCATTTGCCTTTGGTTCATACCCAGAATCGCCTGGGCCCTGGGGTCTGCCCACTTGCCACGAGAAACAGGAAGCTCGAGTCTTGTGCTCTGTCCTGTGGATGCATCCCTGAGCCTAGGGTTCATTGCTATGACTTTTCAGTCTGGTGAAATCTGTCACTCCAATATGATTGGAGCCTTTATCCTGCTAAAGAGTGGCACACTCATCCTCTTAAAACACCCCATGAACGGAGGGAGCAGAGCCCTGCTGAGAGCCTAGGCTCACAGTGGCAGTGACCATTGCTGCAGGTCTCATGGCACACACTTCTCTCCAGGGGAAGACTGGTCCCGGGCCATGGGAGGTGACAAACTGGAAGAAAGGCAGGCTTGACTCTCCCCGCCGCCAGCCTCCAGAAGCACCGCTTTGAGCAGAGCCATGCTGCGTCCAGAGCCACAGTGGCCTCACGCAGACCCTCCAGGGCCCCGGCGTGACTGCCCCCGGTGGTAGGAGTTGTTAGTTTTCAGGGAGACCATGAACTCTAGTCCGAGTAGAGTGCTTTGTTTAGGGATTAATTTAGCAAACTGGACGACACGGGGCACCTGGTATGGGGGTCTGCTTTATAAAGACTTTCCGTTTCCAAAAGTTTACTCTTTTCCAAAACACAGAGAAAGGGCCTTTTCAGAAGCCTGATTCCTGGCAGACATCCTACTGCAGATGGCTTTTGTTCAAGTGGCAAGGGTAAGGGGTGGCCCGGCGCCCAGTGCTCCTTCGTGCTCAGCCAGCCTGGGGTCTGCTGGGAGCAGAGACCGTCTCTGTTTTCTCAGGTCACATCTTGTTTTGTGTATGAAGGAATTTGGGCCAAACTAACATAATAGCTATGGAGCCTGGCCGGTTTCTGGGCCAGTGTCACAGGAGTAGGGCTCCCCTGGATAATCCAGGAGGATCTCATCTCAAGATCCTTAACTCAGTGACATCAATAGTGGCCCTTTTTCAAATAAGGTCACATTCTGAGGTTCTGAATGGACTTATATTTGGGGGGCACCATTGAATCCACTATAAATGCCTTCCCTCACTGCTTAATTCTATAGACACGAGCTCGCTATCTCTTCTGCAAAATCGTGAGGTTGGTAAAATTTCTTCCGTGCCTCTTTGCCCACGTGGGTGTCAGCCCCTCCCTTGTGAGAGCCATTGGTAAAGTCACTTGCTCCATTTCCGAATTTGTTTTTTTTTTCAGTTGAGATGTTAAAATGCCAAGGCAGCTTAAGAAAAGTTGAAGGGAGAAAATAGAAACCTTTGATATAATGGTTTTAGAAGACTTGGGTGTGGAAACCTAAAGCTGAAGTTCTATTGTGGAGAAGCGATCTCTGTAGACTGTGGGAAATGAGCAGTCTTCTAGAAAAGGCTTTGGGTGTGTTATGTAAGAAATACCGAAGTTACTGCACTATTTCCGTGCTTTCTTAAGAAAGTTCACAGTCACGGGTCTGTTTGGAACTTAAATGCTGAACTGCTCTTAAAGTTTGAAATACTTGGCAACTTCTTAGCCCTGGTAAGAGCAATTGTTTTAATTATTCTGTGCTTTTCCAAATCCCTGGCATGCTGCTGAAATCTGCCCATCTGCTGGGGGAGCCGGTGGGGCAGCTGCCAGCCCTCCTGGGTCGTGCCCCTACGGGCAGCTCAACAGTGATTTAAAGACAGAAACTAGCTATGGCTCAGATGCAGCCCACTGCAGACTCTCATCTGTTTCACTCTCACTCACTAATACTACTCACTGTTGAGTGCCAGGCTTTGTGTAATGTACCCCTCACACAGCCAAGTGGGACTGGTGTCCCCGTCTTCTGATCTGGAAGCCACCCTCAGCCCTGAGCTGGGCCACGGTGGAGCCTGGAGGCGGGGCAGTTGGCTCCTGGGTCAGAGTTCCTAGCCAGCCCGGGCTCTGGTGCCATCTCACTACAAGGCATGAGCAATGCAGGCATTGCCCTGGGCCCAGGCATCAACCTTGTTCTCCTGAGAGATAGTTACTTATAACTGAGTGTCAGTAACAGCCCAGAAAAACACATTAAAATTCTCTAGTTTAGCTTCCACCTAGATCATTCCTATGGCTGCTGTGACAATTTACCAAAAACTTAGTGGCTCAAACAACTCAAATGTGTTATCTAACAGTTCTGAAGGTCAGAAGTCTGATGGGGCTCTAACAGGCTAACATCAAGGTGCAGGCAAGCTGGTTCCTCCTGGCGGCTCTGGGTGAGAATCGTTTCTTGCCCTTTCCAGCTTCTAGAGGCCCCTCCACTCCTTGTCTGTGGCCCCTTTTTCCAGCTTCACAGTCAGCCACATAGCATCCCCCCTCTCCTCCTGCCTCCCTCACCCACTTATGAGGACCTTATGATGACATGGCGTCACCTGGATGATCCAGGCTAACCTCCCACCTCAAGGTCCTTAATTTAATCATGGCTGTAAAGTCTCTTTGCCATGCCAAGTCACATAATTCACAGGTCTGGAGATTAGGACATGGACATCTTTGGGAGCTACTGTCCTACCTGCCACAGTAGTTAGTTAGTTAGTTAGTTAGTTAGTTAGTTAGTTAGTTAGTTAGTTGCACCTGATACAGGGCAGGTCGGGCTTCTGCCCATTTCTGAGCTCTGCCTTTTCCCCACCCTGTCTCATCCGTGAGCTTGGGAATGGGAGGGTAAGGGGGTCGCTCCTGAGGGTCTCCACAGCGCCTCTGCCTCCTCCCCATCAGGCTACCGCCAATGCCTGTCAGCACCTCTCACTGTGACCGTAAGACCCAGTGATCACAAATCAGGAAGCAGGGGCAAGCCCTTCCCACAAGAGGAAACCCACAGGAGTTTCCTGGGAAGGGGCATGGATGGGGGACACCCTCAGGGCATGCTGTGGGGACAGCAAGTCCAGGGACTTTGAGTGCCAGCCATTGGTTTGAAGGACAACTGGACTGGAAATGCCCCCTCGCCTTGTCCCCCTATGAGCACCCCCTACCTGCCATGTCAGATACATGGCTGCTCATGATTAATTTCCAGGTTAGAAACCCAAAGAAACATCTAACTTTAATCAAAAACTATTTCAAATAATGAACTAGGTTGACTGTGAGCATTAAAAACAAGAACAAAAATATAGTGCCCTCAATCTAGTCAGTAATATTGTAGTAACTACTCGTGGCACCAGGTGTAGGTACTGGAAATACCAGGAGAACGCTTTGTAAAGTATATAATTGCCTAACCACTATGATGTTCACCTGAAACTAATACAAAATAATATGGAGTGTAGACTGTAACTGAAAAAAGAGAGAGAACGCTCTCTTGAGTGCCACTTGTGGTACAGAATATAATGATTCCTTCCTAAATGTCAGAAAAATTTCAACTACAGCCTAACCCCCATCTCTTCGCCTTTCAGAGACAGGGACAACATTAATCTAGCCAGTCACAGGCTTTAACACTGGGCATCTGGCTGCGGGAACACGCTTGAAAGCTGGAAACTTGATTGGGTCCTTGAGGGGCTGGGACCTAATGTGAAACTGACAAGTCCCAGTTGTGGCTTTTACCAGGAGAGACCCCAAGGTGTGCCTTGGGCGCTATGTGTATGACTCTGTACCCTTATCACCCACGTGATGCCACTTGTTGACCACGTGGCCTTCCTTCCCCCAGATATGGCTGTATCCGGCCTGCAGCACTCCCTGTAAGTATGAAGTTGAATGTGGCATGGAACATTCTGGAACTTTATAACATGGAATAACTGCTCCCGCTTATAACCTGCCCACACACTCACCCCTAACAGTCTCCACGCTGCCCAACTTACCTGTCTTCCAGGGTCTCTAAACATGTCTGTGGGGCCTGTCTCCAGGGAGCTAGGATGTTGGGGCTCCTGGAGGTGTTAAAATGTCCCCACATCCAGCATTGTATGCTGGGCTCTGCAGGGATTTCCTTGAGCTGGGACCAGAGTGAGGCCATGGTAGGGGAGTGCAGTCTAGCCACATGTTGGTTGGAGGCACAGCCAGGGGTCAGCCCTTCCCCTGGAAGCCCCAAGGATTAGTGCTGCCTTGTGGTCCAAAACACCACCACTGGGGATGACAGTGACTGCACCACACGCCTCCTGCTACCAGGCACCTGGCTCATTTCATGCCATCCCCTTGGTGACTCTGTGAAATTAAGGGATTAAGTCGAGGGAAGAGCTCATGACCTGGAGGGTGAGGGGCAGAGAGAGGCTCTAGGTCAAGAAGCAACTGCCAGGGTCGATATTCATGACCCCTGGGGCATGGGAAGTGCAGAGAGGTTGGGTCGGGTTGAGGGAGAGAGGACACCGGGGACCCTCTTAGGGAACACATGACTTTCGACCATGTCATGTAATATGCAAGGGAGACTGTGGGAGGTGGTGAGCACCTGGGGCCTCTGACCAAGGACAGGGCGAGGTGTGTCTTAGGAAGGCAGATGTCCACTGATCAGAGGAAGGCCTGGCAACGTCCTGCCTGGCTGGTGTGCATGGGCCGAAGTGCAGACAGTAGCTCAGGGATATAGGACCACAGTCAGTGTGACAGCTTGGCCCAGCCAAATCACATGAGCCCTTCAGGCCGGCATCAGGAACATTGTAGCCAGGGAGCTTGGAAGGGGCCTGGGAAGTGAAGGAAGGTTCGTTTTTTTGTTTGTTTGTTTTTTAATATATCTTTATTGATTTCAGAGAAAGGAAAGGAGAGGGAAAGAGAGAGATAGAAACATCAAGGATGAGAGAGTCATTGATCGGCTGCCTCCTGCACGCCCCCGACTGGGGGTCGAGCCTGCAACCCGGGAATCGAACCCCGATCGCCTGGGTCCTAGGTCAACACTCAACCGCTGAGCCACGCCCGGCCGGGCGGAAGGTTCTTTAGTGGTGCTCAGAGCAGTGTGGTGGGGCAGCCGTGCGGCTCCCGTGGGCACAAGTAAGGCCACAGCCTGGACAGTGTAGGTTGCAGACTTGACCTTAACCTTCGGGGGATGGATCCAGCTCCCACAGGGCTACCTGCAAACAGGTTGGAGGCTTGCCCTGAGGGCCAGGAGTCACTGGAGGCATTTTCCCAGCGGACACTGCCACTCCCAGAGCAGGGGGCTAGGTGGTGGCCCAAGATCCCTTAAACTCTAACTTTTTCCATAAATGATAAAAGTACGTCTGCTCACTAGAAAGATAAATATTCGTGGGTACTAATGTTTTAATGTCCTAATAGTTATTAAAGTGATCCATGCTACCTAACCAGGTGTCTTTTAACGTCCTCAGTACAGCTGATTTCTGTGCTCTCCCCGCCAGCCTGGCCTTTGTCGCCTAACCTGCTGTCTGTGCTCTGCAGGCTTTGTCATCACCATCTCTGGGCGCATGACCTTCACGAGCAATAAGTCCATGGAAATCGAGGTTCTGGTGGATGCCGACCCCGTGTTGGACAACTTGCAGAAGCGCTACCGGGCCGCCAGTGCCTTCTTCACCTACGTGTCCCTGAGCCAGGAGGGCAGGCCACTACCGGTGCCCCAACTCGTGGTGAGTTGCCCCCTCATCACTCACTGGGCTCCCAGGAGAAACTGAGTCACATGAGCCTATTCTGGGCAACTGGCCCCCTGTCTAGCCACATCCTGAACCAGTGTCTTTGGCTGTGGTGCATGTCAAATATGAGGGCCTTCAAAGGACCATGGGGGTGGGACTGGACAGGATGAGAGACCCCTTTATGAGTTCCTCGTCATCAGCACTCCTCTCAAGGGTATGCTCAGTGCCTTGGGCTCCTGCCACTCTGCAAATGCTGGAGTAGGGGTGAGGACCCTCTCCAGGATGGTCTCCTGGTGTAGACCTGCAGGGCTGGGTGTCTGGGCCTCGTGGCCTTTCTCTGCCTCAACCACCTGGCTGGGCTCTGCCCTGGGTGTGCAGAGAGATGGTGAACAGAGCTGGGGGTCTCTGGCCTGGGTACAGATCCTGGAGGGTCACAGCCCCCAGCAGGGTTCACTCCACCACAGTTGGGGCTCCTCACCTGAGATTTCAGGTGAGCACAATTTCAAGGCTGCTGTTTGGGCTCCTGGATGTGGATATTTTAGGATGGCTGCTGGGGTGGTAGCCTCACAAGGGTTTTATTTATCTGGTAAACAAAAGTTTAGGTTCACTGAGCACTTAATGATTTCCTTCCCTCTTGACAAGCCTCCCAGCCCCCATGTCAGCTGTTGACACTTGAGGTCCCCCACTGCTCAAGGCCACAATCCCTGGAGATTTCCTAGGCTCCCACCCCCCTCACTCCCACCCCTGCCCAATCCGAATGGCACCTGGGGCCACCACAGCCTCCTCCCTGGTCCCTCCCTTCCTCACACTCACACACCCTTTTCCTCAGCACCAGGTGATCTCTCAGCTATTTAATCTTGTCACTTCACTGCTAAAAGCTTCTGGGTCCTGGTGCATTTAGCACAAAATCCAAGTTCCCGCTACCCCCAACCCCAGCCTGCTCCCCGCCCTCACTGCCCCTGTACAGGCCGCTTGTCCACCTTTGGGGCCAAATCATCATGTCACCTCCTCACAGGAGCCCCTGACCCCCATCCAGAGTGCCCCCGGTCACCCTCTGGGCTCATACCTGCCCTGCTATCTCCAGAGCCCTACTACCACTGGACTCAGGTTAGCCGGTCATTAGTCGATAGTCCGTCTTCCCCCTGGACCAAGTTTCATTAGGCCTGGAATGTGTTTGCTCCTAATGGGCCACTAGGGCCTGGAATAGTCTTGGCACTTAGTGGGAGCTCTCTGAAAAATGTGTGCGTCCTACTGTCTGCAAGGCCTGGCCAAGTTAGGGAGTAGATAGGCAATGTGGGTGCTCGGAGGAGCAGAGGAGTGTGCCTGGCAGGTGGCCTTCAAGCTGGGAGGCCAGGGTCAAGTGCTGCCCAGTAGTAGGCAGAGCCCCCAGGAAGACCGGTTTGGGGGGTGCAGGGGGTACAGTGTTGAGTTCTAGGAGTTGGAATCCTAACAACTTGACCAGAGGCAGCCAAGGAGTCAAGGCTGGGAACGGGGAAGATGGTGAGGATGCTTGACTGGGAGACACTCGGTAATTGTGTATGGAATGAATGAAGGAAGGAAAGACTCTTATAGATTTCCCTTAAATCTCATGATGGTTTTATAATAAGCCTCACAAATTCCTTCCCAATGGCAGTCAGGGTAAGTGCCCTGCCTGGAGCGTGTCCCACTGGTTCTCTCAGCCCCCCTCCCCCATTACACA